CTACACAAATACTGGAAATGCATCAAACCTTTAGATCAAATTCTAAATGCACCAAAACTAAAACAACAACAATCTGAGACTGCATCATTTCGTCAATGCTGACGATTCCCTGCCTACCATACAGGAATTTAGTCCTGAAACCAGGATATCTAGATGCAAATGAGTTTGGCATATTTTAGGGAAAATGAAAACCATCTCTCTAAGTTTTTATTTAAATTTGTGCCAAATCTTGCCAACTGCAATAACCCTTCCAACTCTAAAAGTTACTTTTAAGTTGGGCAAATCCCCACGTTTGCCAAAACGTTCATGGAGATCTTTTCATAACTTCTGAATAATCACACTACCAAACAAACAACTACCAGTGCAGAACTGTTCACAATCTAAGCAGCTGACTCCTCTCATTACCTCAGCACTTACATATTTATGGTGATCAGCCTGCTTATATAGCTTCCTCTTAATCCAGCTTCCCAACAGAGTTTGAAAACCTTTATTTTAAAGTAAAATAAAATGGATCCTGTTTGGACTTTTTCACCTCTCTGGTTCTTTTTTTGCTCACATCAAATTTTAAAGCTACATTTAGTGCATTTTTGTGCAAATAAAAGCCACAAAACTAACACGTAGAAGTCATAATAACCGGCTAACTTTCAACGATGACACAGTAGGTTTTGTATCGAAGCACAAAATGTTCCTTTGCTGTTCTCATAACTTAGTTTGAGTCAGACAGTGTTTGGAATTCCAGATGTTTTCAGACTGGCTTCATTTCCCCAACACCCATCTCATGTGCTCACACACTCCCCCTTTAATGAAGTAATGAGGTCTTGACATGGCTTCATATATTTAATTGTCACACAGCTTTGGTTGTTGTTATGAAACTGAGAAGCATGGTGACTGAGGGGGAAAAAGGATGTTTTCACCCACAAAAATGTGGTTTATATTTGGATTTGGGGAGTTTTCCTTTGGCTTGACACACCCCGTTTAATGCACAAATACTCCAGTAAAAACTTCCAGACATGACCGCCGGTAACAGAGCTCATAAAAAGGAACGAAGGATTATATTACATATGGATTGATCATCAGTGAGGAGCAACTAAGACTCATACGCTACATGAACATACGTTTGGCACTAGAATCCAGACACTGGAAAATATGTTGTAGACATCCAGCTCCGATGTCAGGAAAATTTAAAGGAATCATTAAACATGTCAGGCTAGCTCTTTTCCCCACCTGTAAAACATCAAAATACATCTGTATCAGAGAGTCATGCATCCATTACCTGTAATTGCATCCTGAATGACCGTGTTTTCAAGGTTTTCACACACCCATTCCTTGCAGCATTTCCCAGGTAGTCGGATGTATTGTGGGTTGGGACAGTCTGGAGTGGGAAGACGAGCATTCAGTGGACAAGCTGGCACGCAGGTCACCCCGCCCCCCCTGCAGCGGCAGTAAGTGTCACAGGAGGGCTGGAACGACTGCCCCTCCTGGTAAAAGATCCCACTGACCTCACAGCCCAGATCCTTCTGACCTGTTAGAAACACAGACGTTGTCTTTGCTTATCCATTGATGTGGAAACTTAATCAGGAAATGGACAGATTAAGTTAGGTGGAAGAAGCAGAAGAAAACAAGAGAGAGGTGAGGACACAGGAGCTGCTGTCCCTGCAAGTGCTTGCATCACTTTATGGAAAAGCAAGTCTCTTCAGTGAGACACTGTTAAGTTGTTTTTCATTTGGAGTGTTGTCTCTGCAATTTATCATGCTCATGGGTAATTATTACAGGAAATGTGTCAAGAGCAGTCCTGAATCCACTCAGCTAAGCAGACTCTAACATTAAGTGTCAGTCTGTGTGTCCCAGTCATGCAAACTGGCTGAGGCTCTATCTACTCCCTCCCTATGTGTCCTCCACCCTTATAGCCTACCCACACAGACATGGGCCTGGTTGTTTGCTTGTTAGAAGTGACACTCACTGACACACTCCCCAGGTAACCCAGGGAAGCTGGCGCTGTAGTCGCACTGAAGCCCTCGCAGGTTGTCACAGGGAACCATCTCAGTACAGGACTCGCCTAGTTGCCGGGCACACACCTGGCAACACCGGCAGCCATCCAGCACCAGGGGTACTCCTGTGGGGCACTGAGGGACAGGATTGGGGCAAACGCATGGCCTGTCACACAACTGGCACAGCACCTGGAGGAGCAAGAAAAATAAGTTAGAAGGTATGACAATACGACAAAACCTGAAAAGATGAGAGAAAATCATCATAAATCAGTCTTCTGATGTTATGATCATTCCAGTACCAAAATTATTACTCTCATTCCTTAAGAAAAGAAGCAAAGAAAATATTATAAGCATTCTCAGAAGCTGAATCGGTATCCAAAGCAATAAAGCACTGCTTCCAATTACATGTGTCTGAAGGAGCCAAAACACAGGCGAGGTCTGGCCAAGTCCACTTTCACTTTACAAGAGAAGCCTTCAAGGTTTTACAACAAAGTTACTGTAAAGAAATGCAGTCAACAACTTTTCAAATACATAACTGCAAAAAAACACAGGTGGGACTTCTTATTCATATTTTACATCATATTCAAGGGAAAAAATGTAGTCCCCCCTTTTATGTTGTAAGAGTTTTCTGTCTGTATTTGTGATGTTACCATAACACTGAATGTCTACTGGTTTCTAACAGTCGGCTACACAAAACGAGGAGGTTGATGACAAGTAAAGTGTGATTTCACTTCAATTTCTGGCATTTGATCAACCAAAAAAAGACATTAACAACTAGGTAAAAATAAAAATATTAACAACAGTCTTGCTTGTCTAATACATCACCTTTTCTTGATGGATGACTTTAATCATCTCATCTTTATTTCAAATCATTGTAATAAAATCAAGGCAAATGTCGTCTTTCTTTCAGAAAACATTAACAAATACTTGAAAAAGGAAATGTGTTGATCAATGAAGGAAGAAAACAAACAATTCAGCATTACATACCTACAATACTCTCTGATAAAAGTCTCATTCAGAATCGATTACTGTAAATAAGCTGGAGGAGGCCTCACCTGTGTAGTCACACACAGCAGTACAGCCAAAGCAATCACACAGTCACACAGTTGTCGGTCCATGGGGGCTTGTGTTGCTGATGGAGCTCGGTCTGTCTCAGTGAACTGTGTGACGGTGTGGTGTGACCAGTGCAGCTGTTTGCTAACTGCTCCTTCTTGCGCCGCCTGACATTTATAAAGTCTGGACGCTGATGTCACGGGCTGACTACTGTGTAAACAGCAACTGGACTAGTATCAGATGTTTTACATTCCTCCTCCCTGCTGCCCATTTCCACTTCCATACACACACTCTTTTTCCTCTCCTCCCTCTCTTTCCAGTCTTGCGGGGTTCTAAGTTTGCACAGCTTCACATAAGCTAAGGAGAGAAAAATACATTAGCAAGGTTGTCAACAAGTCAAACAACTTCCAGGGCTTTTGTGGTAACAATTCTGATTTAAGTGGAGAAGAATTTATGTAGCTTATGTTTACATAATCTGCTGGTCAGTCAGATATAGTTCATCTTTTCACAGAATGAATATAGAGCAGATATTTTCACGGTTTTTCATTCCCAGATCCCTCAAATGCTTGTGAAGCCCAAATATGTTGAGTAGTCAGACTTAAAAGAGACTTAATCCTTCTCTTAGCTGTGGTTTCCATGGTGTAAAGGTGGCATGTCTGAGGTTTGCATGAATTTGAATCATTGTGATCTCTTGTGAGAGAAAATGAATGGGAACCTGAAGGCAAAAAGCAGAAAGAAAAGTGGCAGATGAGACAAATTCAGTTTAGCTTGAATACGAAGTACATGAAGTACTAACCAGGAATTTGAAACGTGAGGCTTATTTGAAATCACTATGATGGTGTTGTTCTTAAACATCATAATTAACGTCAGGACAGGACAATCACTGCAAGCATGTTAATGTGATGTAATACCTTTGTGACCTGTGGAAAAACACAGCAGCTGCAAACTTTTTGGCAGAAACACTTTAAATCCAAAAACCTTTCTGATGTCTATTGAGGTGATATAAAGAGCAACAAAAAGTTAGTGTAAGAGTCAGAATGTGGTGGATAAACAATTCCATTTCATTTGGGAAACTGGACAAAAAGGTCAGCGGTGATTTTTGTTGACTTCCTCTTTTTCAATATTATTTTCATTTTCAGTTGCAGTTTCGTTATGTTCAAGCAAACAAAGCCCAGAAGTTTGAACTAAAATAAACATTTTAACAAATCCCAAATGTGTTGGAAAGTCAACTTCACGCTCACTCACACCCAACACAGTTTCAAAAAGTTTTAAGACTAGTTTTAGATGAAGTATTTTTCATCATTTACAAAGCTGTGACATCACAACAACCATTCTGTCAAATTCACCTGTGAGACTTGAGCAGTTTTAAGTCTTATGTTCCAGGAATGACACCAACATGGTCATAACAGACTGTAACAAATGAATGAATATGGAATTGCAAAAAAAACCAAAACAAAACTGCAGTGAGCCAATATTCAGAAATACCCATTTTAGAACACCCAGCCTCTCAGCAGAAATAAATATGTTTACAGCCTAACACAAAAAGTCACTTTGCATTTTAGCTGCACAGCTCAGGTCGAGTGGTTTAGAGATAAAGAAGAGTTGCTTTGGACATATGCAGAGGATGGACACTGGATGCACTAGGCCAGGGGTCTCGAACTCCAGGTCTCGAGGGCAGGTGTCCTGCAGGTTTTAGATCTCACCCTGGGTCAACACACCTGAATCAAATGATTTGTTCATTACCAGGCCTCTGGAGAACTTCAAGACATGTTGAGGAGGTCATTTAGCTATTTAAATCAGCTGTGTTGGATCGAGGACTTCAGGACACTGGCCCTCGAGGCCTGGAGTTCGAGACCACTGCACTAGGCAAAGGATGTTGACTACAGAGCTGCTAAGCAGGAGGAAAAGAGGAAGACCCCAAAGAAGGTTTATAAAATTCAGGAGGCTATGCAGAGGGTTAGATAGAGCTGGAGGCAGATGATCCATCATGGTGACCTCTAAAGTGAAGCTGTATCACAGGGTAAGCCCGTTATCACCCTTGCTAACTCTAAACCAGTGGTGGGCAACTCCAGGTCTTGAGGGCCGGTGTCCCTGGAGGTTTTAGATGTGTCCTTGAACCAACACAGCTGATTTAAATGGCTAAATGACCTCCTCAACATGTCCCGAAGTTCTCCGGAGGCCTGGTAACGAACTAATCATGTGATTCAGGTGTGTTGACCCAAGGTGAGATCTAAAACCTGCAGGACACCGGCCCTCGAGGCCTGGAATTGCCCACCCCTGCTCTAAACGGTACTATCCTTCACAAAATAAACATCAGCATTTCTGATAAGACTTAGACCATAAACTCATTAGGAACCTTCCAGATATCTGTACAACAAGATTTTATTTTGAAACTGGAAGTTTTGCCCCTGTCAACCATTAGAAAGAATCCAGTTTTAAGACACTTCCCCATTAATTAGGGCTATAACTCGTGTTACAATTCACTCTGAGAGGACATGAGCAAGCAAAACCACCAAGTTACTGGTTAGACATGATTCATAACCACAATCGTTACATCATGATGGCAGCAAAAGTAAAATCAGCAGATTACCAAAGCAATTAAAAAACTGTTTAGTAACCAAGTTGGTTTCAGTTTTTTTCCTCCAATCCTTCATGCCAGTGTGGTGATATTTCCCTGAGTAAGCAGGAGCTTTGACCTGTTTCTACAGCAACGTTAAGAACATATCTCACAAAAGTGACATTAAATTTAAAAAACATTTTTTACCACTATTATATACACAAATTATAACAATTATTCGTGTTGTGGCCACATTTGTAAAAAAAATATAGCAAAAAGATTGCAGACAGTCATCAATTGAAAGTTATTCATCATTATAAAAGAATTCAGTCTAAGGTAAACTAGGAACAGATGACTAAGATTCAACAGTACCCATTTCTCACATGCCTGGACGGTTATGCTAGATGAAAATCAGTGATTCATCAGGAAGAAATCACTATGTGTGCTTAATTTCATTTGGATGTTGAAATGTTAAGTCTGAATCAAGAAGTTTTGTTTTGATTCTAGAAATAAATATAATTTGCTTTTATAGCACTGTTACACAAAATATAACAACAACATAGTCAAAGCCACAGCGTCCCTTGACCTAAACAAAAATACTCAAGCCATTGACTTAAATAGAAAGCAAGCCTTTCATTAGAAAACAATTCAGTCAGAGGAACACTAGGAATAGATTCCTAAGTTTCAACATCAGCTTTTTCTCACATTATATGGGTGGGCAAGAAAGACATCCAGTCATAACTTATAAATAAAAGGAGACAGACATAAAGATAGAGAAGAGGAAAGAATGTGTGTAGCTTACAGGTGGACTCCAGGTGGCCTGCCAGTATGAACATACTGCTGGGGCTCAAACTGAGCTTCCTCTGAAACTATGCTTTCCTGGCCGCTACCATGTGCTTTCCATGCCCTCCAGAAATGACCGAACCTGGAAGGATTGCATTGTAATAGCTGCTAGCACCACTGTAACATGCAGCAAGTTTAAGCAACTAAAGCCATAAACATATGTATAAAAAGTAGAGGAAAAATATGAGGTTTAAGCTGAATATGGGCAGCAAGTTCACAGACTGTCCGTCAAGCTTCATTATTCTTGTTCTTTGATCAAACATGTATGAAAGGGATGTAGTCAGCCAGTATCAGACACAGTGAAATCATATCTGCCAATTTAAACTGAGACTAGCAAAAAAGCCTCAACACATTTTTCCAAAGCCTACAGATGTTGGAAATGTCCCAGACAGTGAAGTATCACTCTCAATCGCAGTGAACTCCTTTGAAGAAACCCCCAAATCCAAATCCTGCACAATAACCCCCATTCAGTTTGGGCGAATATTGTTTTGGTATGTGACGGTATGCAGGAAAGTCTTTTGGATTCCTTGTTGATTTATGAATGCAAAACCTACAGGGCAAAGTAATGAAAATATTATTTGTCCTATAAATGTTACTAAAGAATTCATTGATCTGTGTGCTGAAAGAAAGCCCGGTCACTCTACCAAATCTGTCACTGTGAACCAGAAATGTCTAACACATGTTCAGGGAGAGTTGTCCAACAACCCCAAAATTCCTCAACGTGCAAGTAATACAAAATACAAGGCAGGTTTAGTCTGTGGTGCAGATACTCTGTGCTGATACTCTGACATTGTAAAGTTCTTTAATCATATTTACACATGTGAAAATCAAATGGGCATGATTTGTCTGAAATCAGACAGTACCCTGCACTCATTAAGGTTAAAAAGCGCTTCCACATTACTGTCTGTGAAGGTTCTCAGTCATCCAGGTCATCGTAGTCAAAGGAGCTTGCAAAGAAGAAGAAGCTTCTCGGATGAGAGGTGAAACTTCTTCAAGTAACTTAAAGATGTCCAGACGCTTTTCTTTGCAAGCTCCTTTGCCTTCCACATTATTTTTTTTTATTCTTACTTGAAAATATCTGATTGGCAGCTGAATATTGTTTTTCCATGTAGACGACACATCACAGAACCTGTTACACGTGTTTATTCCCATTAAATAACTAAATTAACAGCTCAGAAAACGTGTGGTGGAAACGGTTTGTTTGCTCTCTGAACAAATGTATGATTTGTTTTGTTTCTTATTTATGAAAATGAACAACTTTAAAACACAGCATTCAGCATCAGGAAATATAATAACATGTGTATATGTTAATATCACGTTTTAATGTGTATGTAAATAAACTGCACACTGAATTTGTTCTTCTTCCAAAAATACGTTTTTGTAGCATCAACAGTTGACCGAGACAATATTTAGCTTTGCCAGTTTGTGGGTTTGGGTGGTGCCAACTAGCTGCCTGTGGCTGATTTAAGTGTCTCAGAATAAACATGGTTTGTGCTGTAAAAGCCCTGAATAATACTAAAATCTTCTCCCAGAACAACATTTGTCACGTATTCAATGAAATGCAGAGCACTTCAATTGGTGTCTAAGGTTTTGGCTCTTAGAGTCACTGAAAGTTTGCACTGGCAGGTTTGTCTCTGCCACATCTGCAGGTACTCTTTGAACAAGGTGGGCAAATCAGCCTTGAGTGCTGGAACTTTCACAAATAGCAAAAACATCCGACTTGCTGTCTAGTCATAGTTGACTTTACTAAGCTATA